TTCATTCTGTAATATCCACAATGCTTCACCACCCAACTCCAATCCAGCCACTCAGCTGTTTGAAGTCCAACAGCTGCAGCAGCTCAAACAGTGTGGGCAATGCCTGGCTTCACCAGGGGCCTGCACAACAAGTGGTGAAGGAATTTTTCTCCCCCTTCCAAAGGACATAAGCACCAAAGAGACTAAGGCAAGAAAAAGGAATATAACAGTGTCCTGGAGTCAGGTTAAACAATTCTGCTGCCAAGGGGAAGGCTGAAGTGTAGGGGTGTGCTCTGACCCATGTGGCTCCTGAGGTTCTTGGGGTGAAGGACCACAAGAGAATGAGAAAAATAAAGAAGAGCCAAAACTGGGGTCAGGGGGAGCCCTTACTTTCCTGATGGGAGGATAGGAACTGCTCAACCAAGCAGCATGTTTATTTATATACTGGGAAGGATGATGTCAATTTCAGCCCCTCTGCCTAGCAACCTATTGTTTGGATTTTCTCAGAGCCTGGTGTTTTTATGGGTTGTAGCAATTTCTTCATGTGACTGACCCAGGCATCTTCTTTTTCTTGTAGGGTCTTGTCTGGGTCATGCCCTAATCAATTTCCAGCTTCAAGGGCTTCCATCAGGGGTGGGAGGTCTTGCTGCCCCATGCAGGGGATGCCCTGGGTTTCACCAGCCTTTGCAACTTGGAGCTCATTAAAAGATTCCCAATTGGCCAGGGACTCATGCTTCAAACCCCAGTGCCTGCCCTGCTCTCTGGATAGCAACTGACCAAAGACCCAGGCAAAAACATATTCATGAGCTTATTTTTGGCACAGCAATTTCTACTCAGAGAATATCATATGGAACAAATATGAGTTGTTTACCACTTAGGGAAGAATACAAAACACATGCCAAGCCAGAGATGAGAAGATTAGAAGTCTGTGCTGGAACACTCAATGGGCTCCTGATTCCAAAGGATGAGCCCTTCAAACCCTTTTCCCCCAGTCCATTCACTATGAGGTCTGTTCTCCTCCTTTGATAAGTAGAATAAACTTCATCAGATGTCTTTCTTAACACAACTCTGATTACTAACTGTTGTTTCTTACATAAACCTTTTATAGTGAAGTCAATATATTTTTCTCTATATGTTAGTATTTTAGGGTATTATAGATCAGAATGAATACACTGTTTTCTCATTAAAATAAATGGAATTTTTTCTCAACAATTCCTGACTGCATGTATACAAACACCATAGCAAGGTTTTCAGGAAAGAATGAACATCTTTACACAAACGATAGGTATATTATTTGGATTAGTATTGCTCCCTGCAGAATAAAATTAAGTCTCAGGATCCCTGTGGAGCTCAGGACAATTCTTTGGGAACTATCTGAAGCAAAGACTTTAAGCCCTCAGAATTCATTCAACCTACTCCTGTTCCTTGCTGCAGACAGGAAGCCAGAATTCTCAAGATGTTCATTATATTTGCAATCTAAGAGATCAAGATTTGGCCTCTCATCATGAAGAGTAAATGACCTAGAGACCCACTAAAGAACACTGAAAGTCAAGAAAACATAAAAGAAACAGTAACAAGAATTGGGTTTAACGGAAAATGACAAAGTTTCACAATAATAAACAAGATGTCAACTTATTTCTCTCCCTTATCTAAAGATCTGAAGCGTAGACAATTCAGAGCTGTCATAGGAGCTCTGTTTCTCAAAATCCTTAATGTCACTGCTTCTAGCTTAGAATTTCAAAGCAATGCTAAGAAATACACCCTTGATTCTGGGAGTCCATGTCTCTCACAGTGTGAGCTGCTGTGACAAAATATCATAGGCTTAAATGACAGATACTCATTTCTGACTGTTCTGCAGATGCAAAAGTCCAAATCCAAGCTCCAGCCCTTTCCACCTCTGGTGAGGCTGTCTTTCTGGGTTTTAGATGTGGCCCCCTGTTGTGTATTCACAATGACCCTTCCTCCATGTATGTGTTGTGGGGAAGGAGTAGAGAAGAGGCAAGGGGGAAGGGGGAGGAGAAAATGGGAGGACTGACAGGAGAGGAGAGGAGTGGGGCTCAACTTCCTCCTCTTGTAAGGCAATAAGCCCATCTAAGACCTCATCTGAACCTAGTTAGTTCTTAAGAGGCCTTGTCTCCAAATAACATCTCACTGGGAATCAGGGCTCCCAATATATGAATCTAGGAGGAGAATAAACATTCAGCTCCCATAACACAGTGTGACCTGCTTGATAATTAGATTCCTTGTTGAAGACGATGAGACCAGGTATTGGGGGACAATCAGTAATTTCTCCTACAAGGTCCCCATAATTGTAATCCTGAACTATATGTAACAACTGCCACTTCTGGAAAGCCACATTGCCTGTGGAAACTCACCAGCTACACTGGAAGAAAATGAAAAGTAAACAAATATTTAGAGCTTTAAATCCATATGCATTTGGTTCCTAGCTTAGATCAAAATAACTGGGACAGTCTTCTCAATCGACTGCTAGATTGTGATAAAATAGTCATCACAAGACCTTAAATTATGGACATAAAAATCCAGTATAGATAGCATGGTATCCTGAATTACTTGATAAAGGGAGAAGCACAATGTTGGCCCCTAATTCTCCCTGACATTCTGATGAAGTGGGCCATGTAGTTGTAACTTGGATTGTGGATCCCACTTTACCGTATACATATAAAGAGATTTTCTTCAAAAATGTGGATCTGTGTAATTGAATTCTTTGTCTCTAGATGAGAAAAGTGTCTTCCTTTCTTTGAGAAAAGCTCCCAAAAAGAATGACAATCAAATCTTTATTTTTATGTCTCCCGTTGAAGCTGAGATGTATTTTAATAGCATCACAATTCTCCACGATAGCGAAGAGGCTTCCTAGGATGTCACTGTGCCTTGTACCACATCCAACACTAGCCAGGTGGTCCATGCCTCGTGACAGAGGCAGCGTGTTGGTTTCATCCCTTTCTGCAGACTGGAGGTCAACAGCTATGCCATCCATAAAAATGTTCATGTTTTAGTTTGATTCAAAAGTGACCTAGCAGAATTCACACATTATCAGTTCCCCAATGTCTAACAGGTAAGAAATTTCAGTGAGAGAGGTACTACCGATGCCAGTGTCACAGCCAGGGACCACTGGACCAACACTAGAAAGAAAATCACCAAGATTATGTCTGGCAGCCAACCAGCATTCCCGAGGACAAAGACCATGTGCAGGTTTTGTTCATATATCCTGCCCAGTCTGTGCAAAATTTATCTTCTCTGTAATTGGGACAAATTTCCACAATTCTCCAAAAGTCTCTGAGTTGTTCTTCGACTTTCTAATAATACTACGATGATGATAGCATAAAAACCACTTCAGTGTAGAATAGACTTCCCGATGGTGAAACTCTTGCATTCTCTCATATTCAAATTCTCAAAAGCACTTCCAAAGTACAAACTAGCTTAACTGAATCTTCTGGCAGGAAAGTTCAAGTTTTAAGACATACCTGGGCCTTTAATTAGCTCCACTCCACCAAACTGGACAGCAAGGTGCTGCAGGGACCACTGCCCTATGTTTTAATCACTGTGACAGTGAGCAGTGCCACTCCATCAATCTGGAGTCCTGTACCATCAGACCAGAGAGCTGCAGCCTACACAATATACATGGTGGTATAAATGACACCATCCACTTGAAAATAGGGAAGACAGATAGCATTTTGACTCATCCCAGAGGTACTGAATGTCTACAGTTATTGTTCACAGACTTTACTCCTACTGTATCCAGATTTACAATTGAGAGTTAGATTTAAAAGCCCATCATCTTAAAGTGCCTTAATGGTCTCTGACTTTGAAAGGAACACAAAGTTTTTCAACAAAAGTTTCAAGTGAATTCACTTTCCTACACTGTAACAGGAATACTTGGGGATCCATCTTCATTCCCGTAGGGCGATCATAGATTGTAATGTCTGTTTCAGCTCCCTGTGCAGTGACAAAACACCTGAGTGAACATCTTAAAAGGAGGAAAGATTTATTTGGGCTCACAGTTTCAAAGGGTTCAGTCTATGGCCACATGACCCCATCGGTTTAGGCCTGTAGTGAGGCAAATCATCATGACAGAAGAGAATTGCTCACTTGTGGCAGACAAGAAGCAAAGACAGAAAAGAAGGGGTCGAGAACAAAATCTACTCTTTGAGGGCACACTCCCAGGGATCTGCCTCCTTTAGGCCCCACCTTCTGTAGTTTCTACCACCTGCCAGTATCCTACTAAATCATGAATCTACAAGTGGATTAATCCACTCATTAGATTGAAGGCCTTGGGATCCATCACCCCACCTCTTAGCATTGCTACACTGAGAATCAAGCCTGCAGCATACGAGCTTGTAGGGAATGTCTAAGGTTTGAACCATGCTGTATGTGGCAGCACATGCCTGTAATCCTTGCTACTCAATAGGCTAAGGCTGGAGGATACCAAGTTTGAGGCCAGCCTGGTCAGTTATCAAGATTCTGTCTCAAAATAAAAAATGAAAAAGTCCTGGGGGTACGGCTCAGTGGTAGAGCATTTTTTGGTAGCTACAATTATTTTTGCTTAAGTTACTTTAAGGAACGAGGTTTATGTTTGATAGGATTCATTTTAAACTGAGAAAGTCATGTTTTTGTTTTGTTTTGCTTTGCTTTATTCTGTTTCTGAGTGTGTTTTTGGAAGATAACTACCAGGATTTCAGATACATAATAAGAATACTATTTTCCAGCTGAAATTTTCAGACAAGTGAAAGGAGCACCTTTAATTTGTGGGTTAGTTACACTGGAAACCGAGGGAGAGATTATTAGGTCTTCAAGTTCTCTTGTTTGTATTTACACTGAGAGTCCCAGACTTTTCCTTCCTGCAAATCTGTTTCACAACAGCTTAAGTTTCTTTTAGCTTTTCTTCTGGATAAACTTTCAAATTCACTGAAAGAATTTTAATTCGGTAGTTTCTTACTACATGGAATTACCAGGCCAGGACATGGAGGGCCTGTTTCCATAAAAGGTAAGCCAGGAACTCAGTCTTGTCTTATCTTTTTTTTAATTTTATTTTGAAGGTAGTAAAAATATAACAGAACAAGACAGAACAAAGCCGATCAAGACAATGCAGTGAACTTGGTACAGAACTTCACGGCAGGATATTGGGATGGTAGTAATAGGTTGTTGTAGTCAGGGGTTGTACACAGAGAACAATTAGGATCCAGACATGGAGTTTATTATACAATTTTTATAATGGTCACCGGGAGTTAACACAGGAAAATGCAGGAAATCTATCCGAAACACCAAAGACATAGATTAATCAAGAGCCTAAATCACACAGCAATGTCCCACGAGTCCGCATAAAAACCCAGATCTCAGGACAATGCCTCCCACGAGTCCAACTGGAGGTCCAGAGCCCACAAGAAGGACTCACACTAGTCTTTTTTACGGATCTGTGCCGGGAAGACCCAAGGGTCAGCGGTGGAAGCCAGAAAGTCTATGCCAGCAGGGTGAAGGAGCTGTGCTAGTGGGATGAGGGTTCTACGCTGGAGCCAAGAAGTCACACTCACAACAAAGACCAGGGCTGTCCAGAAAGGTACCACAGCCGTCCTCAGCGACACGGAGGCCCCGAGCTCCTCCAACAAGAACAGTTGGGTACATGCCAGGAAGCAGTGTGACGAGTTCATCCTGGAGACCAAGCAGCACACATCTTCCCCTCCGGAGCAGGAAGCAATGCTCAATGTGAGGACCAAAGCTCCTCCAGGAGAACCAACAGCTCAAACAGCAACTTGTAGGAGAACCCACAATGCCTCCTTAACGCCTCAACCCTTAACACCTCCGTTTTTCTCTATCTATCCTGGCAACTTTCCTCAGGTGGAGCATCTTCACTCAATACCATGCTGATGTAATCCAGCTGGCATTAATTCATAATCCAGTTCTTAACCCATAACATAGGTACAATGGTATATCTCCTTACCTTCACAATAGTCGTCCAGTCAATTAGGTATAGCAAAATAAAACCAAAAACAGAACATTATCAAACCAATTGAGAGTACTGAATAGAGCAAAAGAAACAACAAAACAAAACAGTGAAAACAACTTTGCCTTCAAACAGAAGATAGAAGGAAATCCCCCATATTTGCTATATTGCATATGGTCATCCTCCCAAGAGATGCTGAGACATCTGTCCCCAGTTGCTACAGGGGTGTGAGGGTGTTTGATTCTCAGCCTGCATGCCGGTAGGCTCAGGGGGGCACTGTTTCTCCTCCTGGCCCACTCCTGCGTCACTTACCAAGAGGGCGGAAGAATAAGCTGCCTAAGTCCCTCCATGGCCGGATCTCGGGAGCTCTGGCTCTCTTCCTGGCCCGCACCAGGGCGCTTACCAAGAGCTCAGTCTTTTCTTTCTGCTTCACCCTCCGATTAGGCTGTTGTCCTCACTCATGTGATCAAAGACGGTTCACCACTTTAGTTCAGATATTGTGGCTCAGCTGGGAGGGTGCTACATCCCTGTAATCATGGTACTCTGGAGGGTGCCTAGGCAGGAAAATTGCAAATTCAAGCCCAGTCTGAGTTACATAGTGATTTAATGAAACCCTGTTTTTAAAAAAAAAAACACTTTAAAAATGACTGGGGATGTAGTTCAATGTAAAGGCCCTGGGCTCTATCCTCAGTACACCGAAAAATTTTTTTCTAGCCCAAAGAAACAAGGGAAAAAGACTACGTGGAAAGTTTTCTCCTGAATGATTTGACCTGGAAGACATTGTTTCCAAACATCCCATTGGCCAGAAAATAATCATATGCCAATGTCCAAATGCAAAGAACCATGGGAAATACTATGTTTTGCTGAGAATCTATATGTTCAGCTAAAATTTAGCGGTTTTTATTCATGAAAAATGGTTTTTGCTGCAGTGACATTGCTTCATAGGTGACTGCTGAATATAGCTAGTGGGTAACAGGAGAATGTAATGTGTTGGGTGAAGGAGAATATTAGTTTCAGGGGAACTGATTACTTTGGAGGGTATATTGATTTCCAGAGCATTAACTAGGTTTTAGGGTTGTTCAAGTTTGAGGAAGAGAAAAGCTGTTGAGTGTGGATTGATAATGGTTATATTATGCAAAGTTAATTTTGATAAGATATAATTAATATCAAAATACAATAGAAAGATTTCATCTGTAAATTTGGCCAGTTTGGGAAGTGAACTTTTTGGTTTGTTAGATACCAAAATTTTAAGTAGAAACTGGTTATAACTGTTCTTTTTTTTTTTTTTTTTTTTTTTGTCTTTTTCATTTTTATCGGTACCAGGGATCGAACTCACAATTGCCTGCTTGCAAGGCAGGCTCTTATGCCGCTGAGCTAAGTCCTCAGCCCCTGAGCTAAATCCCCAGCCCCAACTGCTCATTTTCTTAAAAAAAATTAAAGTATTCCCACTTCTCCCCTGCTTCCCCTTGTGTGTTCCAGTTCAGTGCCAATATTCATTTCATTAGAGTTCCGTTTGGTAACCACCTGAAAACTAGTCACAAATAGCTCTCAGTACACTCTGGGCACTCACCAAAGCAGTCAGTCTGACTCTAAGTAAAATCTACCAGCTTGCCTATATTTTCACCAGTTAGGAATTATAGGAATTTAGCCATAGAATTTGAAAATAAATTGAAGGCTCTTTTTAGCCATTTTTTTTGTTTTTAGTGGAGACCAAGATCCCATTGCAAAACATTTTCCTCAGCATGAATGCCTGTGTTTGATCCAGGAATAATACATGATTGACTCTTACCCAACAGCAGGGTGGGATTCCTGGCACTTTTTTTTTAAAAGCAAAGGAAAAAACAACTGAGCAGAAATTTGCTCTTTCAACAGCTTTTTGTGGAAATGTAGATTAAAGACTAGGCTTTTTAAAAATCCCTTATTGCAATAATTGCAAATAGGACAGAAGGCTAACGGAAATGCTGCTTCAAGTCAATATAGGTTGTGTGACGTAGATGTTGCCTCTAAGAGGCAAAAGCTAAAAAGGCATCATAAGTGTGTTCACTTTTTTATCTTAATGGGTTCCAAATTTAAGTGTTTTCTTTTTCCATATAAATATTTGCTTTTGCTACAGCTAAGTTCAAATTCTTGAGTGTTGACTTGAGCACGCACAGTAAAGATCAGCTTTGTTGGTGACATCTGCAAAATCCATAGTGAGAATTTAAAAGCATTAGAAATCATTGCACTTCACTGTACAAATGTTTGTTATATAAACAAAGTCTTAAATTAGTATTAAACAAAATCTTGAAGCTAGGCATTACAAAGGAAAAGCTGACTTCATTTAAGATATGATCTAAACTAGCTGTTTTCAAATGTTTGGCCCAGAAGATTAGCAAAACTAAAGACATAAATATTTGATATTGCCAAAGGCAGAGGGAAATAAATTCTCCTACATTTGGTACTGCGTAGTGTGTGTGTGGCATGTGTATATATGTGATGTGATCAAAATATACGCTGACTTTAAATATTACAGTAAAGAAAACACTGCCAATAACCCCCTTCAAAATACTCCTCCTGACTTTGAACATACTGATCCACCGTTGTCACTGTTCTGAAGCACTTCTGCGAGGCCCCTTGTGTATCTTTAAAAGCTGTGATCAAAAACACAGTGAGTGGAGCTGTTGTGTGCCATTTAATTCATAAAACTGTCACGGTGTCTTATCAGCCCCTTATTCACCAGATCTAGCATCATGTGATTTATGGCTCTTCCCCAAAGTCAAAATGATCATGAAAGCAAACATTTTGAATTGATTCAGAACATCAAGGCAACCACAACAGGGCAACTATTAACACTCATGAAAAAGCACTTCCAGTATGACTTCAGAAAGTGGTAAGACTGTTGCAGTAAGTGTGTTCAAAGTGTCAAGGAGTGTTTTTTCTTTTGTCTTTTTTTTTCCTTGTCAGTAGTGGGGATTGAACTCAGGAGCACATACTTGCAAGGCAGGCACTTATGCCACTGAGCTAAATCCCTAGCCCGACAAGAAGTATTTTGAGGTGGATTGACGCCAAGTGTCACTGTACTAAAATTTTAATTTAAATATTTACTGTATTTTGATCATGTGTATAATGCTATAACATTGGGTAAACATGAAATAAGCTAACTGACGAGAATCCAACTGTCTGCCATGAAAAGAAACCTCATTTAAGAAATGATCCAAAGGACATTTTGTCTAAAAGGACAAAAATCCCCAGGCCGTTAATAGAAAATGGATAGATTCAGGAAACAAGAATATGGGTGCTCAATTAAATTCAAATTTCAGCTAAACAATGCTTAAAATACTGGCATCATGTGTGTCATCTGGCAATCTTAATTCAATGTAATATTAAAATAATAATAATAACAGAAGAAGAACAATTTACCTTAGATTTTTGCTAAAAATCCTGCCATGAATCACCTTGCTCATGTTTTTTTTTTCAGATAGTTGCAATATTTATTTTTATTTTTTTAAGAAGGCAGAGTTTAATCTTTACACCTGCAGACTGTTGAGAGCTAATTCCACAAAGGCAACAGCATTGAATTAACAAAAGAGCTTAGTTTATAAGGAATTTAGCAGTGGGAGTTACAAAGCAAGTGACAAAATGTTACATAACTGGTTACATCCATTGAGTATATTGACAGGCAGGCTGGTCTTGAACAGATCTGTAGAAACAAAGGAATTGTTTATCATAACACAGAGACATTCCGGGAACAACCGGAGCAGCGTGGCCACCTCTTTCATGTTATCCCTAACCCAGGACAGTTTTCTAATCTGTCTCATGAATTCCCAGCTAATCCCTTTATCCTTACCATTAGATTTGGCATGCCATGTCCTCCAAGATCTCTGTTCTTTTTCTTTCTTTTTCATTCTTTTGCCTTTTCATTTTCGGGTTACAATTAACAGCTCCAGGCAGATGATGTGCTCTTCTTACCTATCTCAAAATTAGAACTACTAAATTTTCCTGGGGAAGCATGTAAGGAGCCAAATACAGAACAGAGAAGACAAACAAATAACATGAAATCTTGAAAGCTGTCAGCTCCAAAGGAACAGCTATTCACTGCTTTGCTCTTCTTGCTTTTGAGAAAACAGCTTACAAGTGCCAGGAAAATAAAAGATTTTCCAAGTCCAGGAAGTTTCTGCTAGAGTCTGACTAGCTCAAAACTCATTTATCTTGGTTTTGAACCGGACTCTCTATCACGATCAGCTCTTGGAAAGCCTAAAATGGCCTACTACAAATATAAAAACATATAATCAAATCAAACATTAAAATGTATATAGAAATACAAACATTTACTTGATAGGTGATCATACAAAGGAATCATTAAACGTCTTGGAATATAACGATGCTGTGATTACGTTTTTAATATGAGCCCTTTTAGATGTGTACTGAAATATTTGCAAATTAAGTTGAAATTAGCTTAATAGGGTAGGAGATAGAATAAGTGGAAGTATAGATGAAATAAATTTTTTGGAGATGGATAACGGATGCATTACACTATATGTACCCGTGAATGCACTTTACTGTTTATTAGTTTTTAAGTGTTTTCTGTTGCTGTTGTTGTTGTTGTTGTTGTTGTTGTTGTTGTTCTTCTTCTTCTTCTTCTTCTTCTTCTTCTTCTTCTTCTTCTTTTTCTTCTTCTTTTTGAGACAGGATTTCACTGTACAGCTCAGCTGCACTGGGCACTGAGCCTGTGCCACAGTGCATCCTGGATGCTTGCTACAGTCGCCTGGCATCCAGTGCATGTCCCAGGAGCCCTGCAGAGATGGCCACACCTCAGCCTGAACAACTGCCAATGGCCTTGAACTCACTTTGTAGCCCAGGCTGGCCTTGAACTCATAGTTATCTTACTGCCTCAGCCTCCCAAGCGCTAGGATTACAGGCATACACCACCATGCCTGGCATAAGTTTTTAAGTATCTTTGAATTTTGTCATAATAAGAATTTAAAAACAAACTATTGTATACATACAGTGGGATATTATTCAGCCTTAAATAGAAGATATTTTGACACTTGCTACAAGATGTTTGAGCCTTTAAGATACTCTGCTAGGTGAAATAAGCCAACCACAAAAGACCAAATATCGGCAGATGGTGATGCACACCGGTGAACCTTGCATTCTGGGAGGCACTGAGAATTGCAGGTTTAAACCCAGCCTTGGCAATATAGCAACTTAGCAAGACCCTATCTCAAAATAAAAAATAAAAAAACGGGCCAGGGATGTAGCTCAAAGTGAGTGCTCAGGGTTCAGTTCTAATACCACAAAAAAGGACAAATACTGCAAGGTACATTTATATGAGGAGCCTGAAGTATCCAAATTCCTAGAGACAGAAAGAGAAAGGGTGGTTGTGAGGAGGCAGGAGAATTACTAATTAATTGGTAGACAGTTTCAGTTTGGCAGGATAAAAACGTTCTGGAGACGGGCTGTGCTGAAGATCGGGACATCAGTGTGGCTGTACTTAGTACCACTAACGTGTACACTTACTTGGTTAAACTGTGGGCAGGAGATGCAGCCCCTACTTAGCAGTTGTAAGGCACTGGTCTTGATCCCAGCACTGTTTTTAAAAAATGGTTAAAATGGCAAATGTTGTGTTACATTTTTTTACCAAATAAAAAGATACAAACTTCAGGAGCCAAGAATTTAGCTCAGCAGTATAAACGCCTGCCTGGCAAGTGCAAGGTGTTGGGTTCGATCCCCAGTACAAAAAAAAAAAAAAAAAAAATATATATATATATATATATATATATATATATGTTTAGTTTCATAAGTAAAAATTTCTACATATACTATCATTCAACATAAATTAAAATGAAAAATAACAATAAAACATGAGTAACAGAGGGGTTAGAAAACAGCCTTTATTATTGAAGCATACATAATGTTTTCAAGAGAAAAAAAATCTTCTTGGTTTTCCCTGATGGTAAATACAGTGGTATTTGGGTTCACAAATTCCATTCTCTCCACGATTCTGGAGAACTGGGTGAAGACTGAATCGAATTTCCACAGAAAGTCAACATTGGACCATATGCTATCTTTTAAATGTGCTTTATCTTTGAATTTACTAGATAAAAAGGAAACAATAACAATAAATAAACACCACCACAGAAAATAACAGCCTGCCATCCGACAACTCTTACCCGGGTGGTTCGAGTGTGACAATGTCTATGAGCCCTTGTGTCTTCCTGTCCCTAAGAACCAGAGCACACAAACCAATCGTGATCTCAGATGGAGCTGAAACACCTGCACTGGGCACTGAGCCTGTGCCATAGCGCATCCCGGCTGCTTGTCATAGTCGCCTGGCATCCAGTGCATGTCCCAGGAGCCCTGCACGGACAGCCACACCTCAGCCCCAACAGATAGAAAGCTCTCAGAAAAAACTGCACTTGTTCTGAGAGTCTTCAGATTCCTTTTGTGTCACTGTTTCCTTACAATATAGCAATATGTGCACAGCATTTACATTGTGTTTGGTATCATAAGAATAAATGTATGCATGATTCAAAATATATGGATGAATTAATATATATATAGCCTACATGCAAAAATGACACCATTTTATGTTAAGGGACTTAAACATCTGTAGACTCTCGTTTTGTTTTTACAGTCCTGGAGATTCACATTGAGCCACACCCCAGCCCTTTTATATTTTGAGAGAGGGTGTCATTAAGTTGCCCCAGCTAGGCTCAAATTCATGATCTTCCTTCCCTAGCCTTCACAGTGTTGGATTATAGGTGTGCACCATCACTACAATCCCCTGTGTACCCGAAGGGACAGCTACAGTTCCAGCCTCTTTGGGCCATTCCAAGCACTTTCCCAGAGAAAACAAATTCAGAAAACAGACTAAATAAAACAACCACCCTTTAGAAATTCTAAGAAATTCCCATGTAATCTCAAAGTGTCAAATTTGTTCAAAAGCATTAAACTTCTGCTTACAGTCACTGTTTTTCATTTACTATTGCTTTGAAAGATAACTGACAATGCTCAGTTACTTCTAAAATGTCAAACCACGTAGAGATAACCTAATTCCTGCAATATTCTCATGTATCCATCCACTGTGTAGGTCTCTAATCAAAGTGAACACCAAGGGTTAAGGTGAAGGGTGAAGGATTCCATTAGTGACCCCCCGCCCACCTTGGCAAAGAACTGCCCAGTGGAACACCCCAACTCAGGCTTATCAAAGCAGGACAGTGCATGCTTGGAGATGCTGGGGGTGGAGGGAGGCCACAAGCTTTGCCCTAGATAGATTGGAAAGGGTTAGAGTTGCAGAGTCAGAAGACTTGATTGATAAAATTTTACACATAGTAACAGTATTGTACAGTACAACACAGTCAAATATGTTTTAGAAAACTTTTATGGGCATAATAAAACACACACGAATATAATGAAACAGTGTCTAGGATTTGACACAAAAGAGCACAGGCTTTGAGGACAAGCAGTGCTCAGCTCCTATTCCAGCTTCATCGCTGCTATCCAAAGGCAGGATCACAATCTAAACACACAAAAGTGGAATTGTTTAAGAATAGCCATGTCCAATTCATCGCTCAGCCTCAACAATAACTAATTCATGACCAGTCTTTTATGTTTTTATTCTATTTCTCTGACTCATTATTATTTTGAAGCAAATCTCACTGGAATATTATAAACATTGTACTATGCTCATACAAATTGTGCCTCAAAAACATGACTTCTTTGATTGTACTACACAGTATTACACAGTATTATTGCCATGTGTAAAATTTTAACACTAAGGTACTCATAAATATAGAATCTTTAAATTATTGCATAATGTCCTAATCTTTTCTCTTTTTTCTTTTATGGTTTCTTTTTTGAAAATGGATCTAAATCAGGCCCTCTTTTTGTGTTGCGGTTTGCTTCAGTTCACCTCAATGTTTTCATCTGAATGTAATCCTCTTCCTGCACCCTTAATTTCAGAGGGTGAGGCAGTAAAACCTGGAAAAAGAACAGCAGCCTGAAGGTCAAGGTAATCACTGCACAGAGGTCAAGATTTCTAGCGGTCCATTGCCTTAGGCTGAAATTGCCTGTGCAATCTCCACAGCGTCTGCAACAGGGGAGGGATCAGGCGTGGACCCCTGCCCCATTCAGGCTGTCTTCCTGTTCCTTAAAACCATGTGCCTTTGTTCCTAAGCCCTGCTGCTACCTGAGCAGCTATCCCTCACTAGATCTGCCTGGGAGCCTCGACTCCAGGGAAATTTTATGCGCATGGTGGCCTTTGTGTCCACACACTGTGTGTATCTCTAACCAGAGTGATCCTCCAAGCCCCCCAGCATCCTCCCGCTAAGGCCTTCCACTTTTTCCTTTTATGTCGCCTTGGGTGCCGAGCTCCAGGCCCACTGTATTTTCTGTTGCATGGAGCCAGATTTCACATATGGAGTCAGATTTCAAATGAGCAGATGTAAAGAAGATAAAGGAGAATACCCATGAAATGCAGTGCTAGGTCAACATCCATGAGACGCTGGAACTTGACACAGCCGACCAAATGTCTGTAAGATTTCGCGTGGACCTCATTATGCTGCAAAGGTCTATTTCTTTCTGTGTTTCAAGCTGCTTTCAGAAGGTGAATTTCTGTTTCCTTGACTTGGCATGAACCACCCAAGGGGAGGCTGGTATGTTCATGTCCTACAAAAGGGTAAGATGTGGGGAGACACTACCACATGAAAATGGATTTACTGACACCAGCTACACAGGCAGGACACATAGTGTGTGCAGAATAAATGTGCAGTGGGTGGAGCCCATAAGCAAAATGAAGAGAAAAAAAGTAAAAGGCATCAATCCTGACCCAGGGTGGATTTTAAATATAACGATAAAATAAGTATTATCAGATGGTGTCTGTGGTCTCTTCCATCTAACGGCCACGCTCTGAGGAGTCAGGGCTGGGCCCTCACTCAGCAGGCTTTGGAATACCCGTTTCCTCATGGTCACAGACCAGGCACCCACAGGAGCTGTGCCGGTGAACTTTGCTCCCCTTCACCTCCCAATACCACAGTAGCACTGCACTTAGTGGAAGGCAGGTGTGGTCCCGGGAGCCTTGGAGAGGGCACTTCACCCTCCAAACCAAGTTGCTTCTTCTATCAGCCATTTGGTTGGCACCTGGGTAGGCACCCAGGACCCCGAATCGAAACCCCTGTCCACCTCATTCCCAGGCCAAAGCTCATTCTTCCCGTATTCCCATTTCTTTTTCATTGTTTCAATATAAATGAGGGTCTGTGTCCTGTCCCTCTGCTCAGCCTCATCTTACCCCATCACCCCAGCCCTTTCCCTCCAGCCACATACACATGCTTCCTGGCTCTCAAATGGCCAAGTTCCTTTCTGCTGCAAGACCTGGAGAGTGCTCCCTCTGGATCACCACCCTCATCTCTTCCCCATGGCCTGAATCTCTCCACAAAAAGCACCTTCTCCTGTACCTGCAGTGGCCCCACCTGTGGTTTTGCCTTCCCCTACTGCTTCGTTCTCCCCCAGAACACTTATTACCACCAGAAAAAAAACCTCCTTGCTTTTTTTTTATATTGACTCTTTCCCATTAGAATATCCATTCCCTAGGAAAGCGGCTCCATCTGTGGTGTTTTTTGCTAACACAATACCCAGCACATGCGTGTGCTCAACAAATATTTCTGAATGAATGGATGAGGTGGAAAGCCATCACTAAGAACTGTGCCCCTTAAATATTCTTTGGCATATTTCAGAGAAGAACAAGAGAAAAGTCATTCCCTGCAGCATGAACTGCCATGGGGGAAGTAGGCAGTAAGGGCCTTCTGAAGCACAGCCTCTAGGCAAAAGGAAGTCATCCTTCTATTAACATGAGGTCGTGCGGACAGGACGGAGCCCTGCTCTTGCAGGGAAGCACAGCCACAGCTCACGGAAGGTTTCAGCCAAGCACAATGTTTGTTGAAAGCACTGGCACTAAATTTCTGAGAGCACTGCAGGCTCATTGACTGAAGGGAACAGCTAGGAAAGGAAGAGCACAGCTTAACATTTTTGTTTTGTTGTCAAACACTAGAAGTTATCAAGAAGCAGCTGTCTTTGTCAGTACGCTTTAACTCACCGGAAGCAAGTGGGCCACATTTTCAGTTTCTCGACCGAGCTAGCTGCTGCAGTACACCAGAATGGCACCTAGTGGACACTCCAGTACACTACAGGTCCAGGAGAGGCCACTTTAGAGAGATGATTGTGTCATTTTGTCCATATTGTCAGTCGTTACCCTATTTATGGATTTCACAGTTGGTATCTTAGACTTAGAGATGGCCAAGAGTTTATTTTGTCAGGAAGTTAAACACAACAATATAACACTACCTACTGTCTAATAAAAGAGAGCATTCTTTTATCAGAATGAAAGAAATGTATTTCAAATTGCAAATATTCCATTTTATAAAAATGTATCACATTGCTTTTGCTCTCCTCCTTTGGAAAAGTAGACACGGAAATATTTATGGGCGAATACAAATATGTGGACTGGTACTGGAAACTCTTCCTGGGTGAGAAATCCCTCCGACAGCATCCTTTGTTTAATACCCTGAACAACAGAGTGGTACTATCAAAAAGTAGCTGTATTTTACACCCGCTACTTCCACACAGCCCTGATGGGTGAGAGATTCCTCCTTAGTTTTGGATGAAGCTGGCAGCCTCCACCTGTTGGTCCTGATTTGGGCCCACAACCCTCTTCCTTGAAGAGGCCTATGGCTTTTTTATTTCCATGTATAAAAGCAGCTCTCAGACCTAACCCTGTGTATCATAGTTTCTTCTCTACACTGAATCCTCCATTTCCTTCAGCCAGGATTTAAACCTTTGGCTGGCAAAGCTAGAAGGTACATTCTGTGCTTTCCAGGGAGATGGTTGCTACCTAGTAAGTCACGACATTTGCGAGAAGTCCCTGGAAAGATGAATCTGAGAACTTCCTTCCCCAGGCTAACGGACTCAGAGCAGCACAAAAACATACTCACTGGTCAATCTTTTTTTGCAGACAGAAAGACAGGCACCCACAGAGCCACAGCCTCTTCCATCGCGGATGATGTATCTCCTGATACAGACCTCTTCCTCCCCCTCTGGAATCACTGGACCTAGAGGTTACTAAGGTGTTTCATTGGTCACACTCCATCACTGTTCTTTGAAAGATTACTGCTAGTGGTCTTTGCTTTTAATAGCAAAGGACAACATTACAACAAATTTTCTTTTAAGGATCAAATTGGCTTTTGTGATTCTAACATCCAGCAATACCTCACTTCATTGTGTAAAACAGAACATTTCAAAAGCTGAATAGACGAGGTTGGCTTTACAGACAGAGAGGATTGCAGAAGGCAGAAATAGAGAAGAAGTGTAGATGAGTGGTTCAAAGTTATTGTCCATGTAGGGAATAAGACAAGGAGGACTTACTCATAAAGCTGACTTAAGTCGACTGGAATGTCCTGGGTTATGTTTGAAAGCTCGGTTTGATTACATGGCACTCAGCACAAGTGAGTCTGTTATGGTTTGATATGTGTCCTGGGTCCTAATGTAGAAAGTTGGTCCAAAACATTGGCCTCCCTATACTTAAACAGAATAAAATGTGTTAGTAGGCTGTTTAATTTGTTTTAGCTATAAATGAAAGGTAACCTCATCTCAGCAGTGGTTTAAATAACATAATTTATTTTTGGGCACTGTAGGGCCCATATGGTTCTCTCATAATATCAGGAACCCAGGTGGGGAAGGACTTAAAACTATAAATCTAGCCGTGGCACGTGTGTGTAATCCCAGCACCCATACAGCTGAGGCAGGAGGATCGCTTTAAGTTCAAGGCCAACCTGGACTATAGAGTGAGTTAAGGCCAGCCTGGAATACATAGTGAGATCCTCTCAAAAAACAGAGGCAGGGGTAGAAAGAGAGAGACAGACTGACAGACAGACTGGGTGATGGTTTGTGAAGTGCAGCTCGTGGTCAGCTGGCTCCAAGGCAGAAGCACGCAGAAAGGCCTGGTGGAGGGAGCTGCTCACCTGTGGCAGCCAAGAAGTTGAGAGACCAGGAAGCAACAGAGAAAAAAGAAGGAGCAAGGGAGCAGAACACAGCCTTCCTGTTATAACCGAAATTTTAATTTTGGATGGTTGATCAGCTAAAACAGACAAATAATGCAGCCTTCTAGGTCACTTCCGTGAGCCACCTCCTCTAGCCAGGCCCCACCAGCACATTCAGCTACAAACGCATCAGTGGATTACTTCACTGAAGACCCTGGCACTCCCATGCCCCCCTCTGTGATATATGTTGTGTCAGGAAGCAGGTCAGGAAATCCCCCTTCCGCTGAAAGGTATGTCTATCAAATGGGAGTACGAATTACAAAGTGGTTCAAGGTTCGCTAGAGGGGGACAGAAAGTTACATTGCATCTGAGAGCACCATAAAACTCAGAGCAGCCTGCCTGTTCCCGGCCATGGCGTTAGCACTGCTTCTGTAAAGCATCAGGTGGCCTTGGATGACACCACTTTTCCACTGGGAGGATCAGTGACACCTCACGTCCTGAATGAGCTCACAAGGAAAAGGCTCCAAATTTGTCTCCCTCGTTCTGAGTACCCTTGCTAAGAGGACCCTCACACACCTCAGCCCCTCAGGCCTCTGGTGCAAACCACAACTGCTCATCCCAGAACGACCATAGTCAAGTCTGCTTTTCTTAACATTTATACCACCATTTTTAAAAATATGGCATGAGATAAAAAGCAACATGTGCTTGTTCAAGTAAGGCTTGACAGTATAGAAGGCTAGAAAGTCCAATGTAAGTCTTCTTCAACCATATCTGTCCTCTGGAGGCTGTCAGATCCTTTTGGCCTTTTATTCTATGTTTTTATAAATCTGTATGTGTGCAATGAAATCTAGATGAAATAAAGTTTGACCTTACACTCTGCTTTAGTGCATCCTGCACACCTTCCATAACTGAAATAATACACTATAAAGAACATGATGTAATATAAAGTCAATACTATGATTCCTCTTAGCACATCAGAAAGCACATCGTTCCCAGGGTGAGGGTGGTGAGAGGATGGAGAAAAAGGACAAGAGTCCAAACACAGAAAACTGAGGCCGTGTGGAGCCCTCTCTCCTGATGAGAAGGACAAAGAAGGAGGAGAGGGAGAAGGAGCAAGAGGAAGGAGCAAGAGTGCCCCAACAGCCGCGGTGCATTTATTTATACACTGGAGAGGCTGAGCATCCCGTGAAACCTCTCTGCCCAGGGGTTTATCCATGCGGCTTGTCTCAGGCGCTATGTTCTTGGGATTGGCCTTGCTCTCGCACTTGATGGATCTTTAGCTTCAGCCGCTCCCGCAAGAAAGTGTGTAGAAGTTTTGTTCTGTTTCCTCGGAGAAGAGGGGTGTTTATTTGCTTTTCTTAATGAAAACATTCTCTAGCTTGTTTTTCTCCTTACTTATCTATTTATAAGCAACAGCTGTCAAATCGATACATTTTCATCATGGTCTCTTATTCTACTTCACGAATGCACCGTAATTTGTTTATGTTTTCCTATTGACTCATTTTTGCATCTTTATAATGTTTTTGCTATTAAAAGTAATACTATTTGAACATCCTCTAGGACATAACCTTCACTCATGAACTTAACTTGTTCCACGATTCTAGAAAAGACGGCCACATTCAGGTTTGTGTGGGAAAGATGGTCACAGTTATGCTCATCCCCCAGTACAGAGTTAACAAACAAAAACAAAATTTTGCCCAATGCATCTGTTTGCAAACCAAATTGTTCACAGACAAAAGCATCCATGAACTGAGGTACCACTGTATGTGTTGGTACTTTTTAATTTTTGATACTGGATAAGGCCTTTGTACGAAGCTACATCCCCAGTTCTTTTTTTATTTTTCATTTTTTAATTTTGAGGCAGGATCTCACTGAGTTGCTAAGGCTGTGTTTGAACTTCCAAGTTTCCTGCCTCAGCCTCCCTGAGTACACTACACCCAGCATGTTTGCTCTCGTGTGGGTTTTCATGGGATGAGACTGGGGCTGCTGGTATGCATATTGCTCCCCACCTGGCCCTGGGCCTGAGCATATCACATTATTACTCTCACCCTGCTCACTGAGCAGTGTAATTTCTGTCTTCCCATCCCAAGACCTGAGATCCTCAGAGACGACTTTACCACTCTGTTGGCAACCAGGATTGGGTTAACTAGAGTTGCCAATTCAAGACTAGGTCTTGCTTGGTTCAAATGGGTGAACTAAGGATACTTTCATGATGCAACAAATTTAGCAGCCTAATGACATTAAATGTGTATCTCATTGTTCTGGAGATCAGCATGCATGTGTAATTCCCTGGGCTAAGATAAAGATGCTGACAAGATGCATTCCTAGCTGGAGGCTCTGGGGGAAAGTGTGTACTTCAGTCTTCCTGTGTAATGGCCAGAGACTGCCCACCCTCCTTGCCTAGAAGCCTCTTCTAGCTTTCTCTCTTGACCTCCTCTGACCTGACTGTTCCACATTAAAGGAACTTTTGATTGCATTGAGCTCACTCACATTATCCAGGGTAATATCCTTATTTCAAGATGACCTGGTGAGCAACCATCATTCCATCCGAAACCTTAATTCCCCTATGTGAATATAACATAGTCACAGCTTCTGTGGTTTAGGACGAGGACGTCTTGGGAAAGCACTATTTGTCTACCACAGTTGTCAAAGTGTTGTGGCTTAAAAATGAAGACTCACATAGTAAAGGCTTGATTTCCAATGTAGCAGTCTTCAGAGCTGGGATTTAGGAAGGTGATAGATCACAAGAGCACCATCCTTATCAATGGATTAATTCACTAATGAGTTGAATGGGCTATTAAGAGATGGGGCCCAGGTGACTGGGGGCATGCCTTTTAACAGATGTCCCTAGCCCCACATCCTGCCTCCCCTTCCCCACCCTTCCCCCTCCCCCTCCTTGCTTCTGTTCACATTTATATGTCTGCCATGGTGCAGCAGCTCTCCCCTGCCACACCCTTCTACCAAGGTATTTCTACCTTGGAGCCAGCCAACCATGGACTGAAAACTCTGGAACCATGAACCAAAATACACCTTTCTGCCTCAAATTATTTATGCCATGTATTTTATCACAGCAATGAGAATCTGCCTAATGCGTCAAGAGTGAGAAGGTGAGGATGGATAGAGACCCTCGCTGCAGCCTTTAAGGAATTTGGGTTGGAATCTGAGAAAGACCACCTAACCAGCCAGGCAGCGAGGAGAAAGGCTGGGGAGAACATCAGAAAGACATACCAGCAAAGTATGTGCACTGACAGTGACCAATGGCCCAGGCACAGGGAGTTTGGCTGACTGACACCAGAAGAAGGGGCATCCTCCCCTTGCGTAGGGTCCTACACAGGGACAGGGGACTACCATGGTACCCGTATCTCAGAAGAGCAAGACGAAAAACTCTGGGCCACCATAATCCTGCTTCCTGGGTGGATTCTGTTGGCAGCTGACAAAGGTCTCCGCGTGGAAGTCAGAAGTCATGCAGATAAAATCCCCCTACACCCTGAGCTGAGGGCCCTGTTACCTCCCTCTAACACTGGAGTTGGGGAATTACTTTGACAGATTCCTGGGCCCTGCCTCGATAATCTGGGATTAGGATCCATGCTGGTCCCTAGAGGGACAGGGCGAGTGCAGACACAGCCAGGCCTCTCCCACAGACCCATGAGTCCCAGAGTAGCCTCTACCTTCCTCAACCCACCCAAATACACCCCTTCTGGCCCAGATGCACCAGTAATCACCCTCAACCCCCAGAGAGCCCTTTTGAATTTGGAGACAAGTTCTCACTAAGGCTCTAAGTTGCACAATAGCCCAGTGGTATGTTTGGCTTGTATGAGACAAGGCCTGGGTTCAATCCCCCTACTACCAAAAAATAAATTCTAAGTTGCACAGCCTGGCTCCAACGTGCCACCCTGCTGCAGTGCTGGGATTATAGGAGTGCACTTCTTGCCCAGATTAAGAAACATTTAGAATACATAAATAATCTTACCCATCCAGCGATATCTGCTTATCAACATGTTGACCCATAGCTTCCACATCTTTTTCTACATATAGAAGTATAGTTAACAAAAAATGGGATTTTATCACATGACCACATTCACAGGTCTCTGATGCAATGTGTGATGAATAGCCTTTCGCATTAATTTGCCTCATTCTTTTGAAGCCTGCTAGCACTGGATTTTATAGCTATGATGGGATGTGCCAGTCAGCCGTTTCTACCCTCTTGCTCTGCAGATGTGCTGGAGGAATGCATTTGTGGGAGCATGTGGTGGGGCTGAAGGTCTCTGTGTCTCGACTGTGCCTGCCTCAAGTGTCATGTCCCCGGGAACGGTGACCTGGCAAACACAATGATCCTTTTATACTCCTTGGAACAAGTGGTTTCCTTTCAGGAAGGTGCTTTTCTGGAAAATATGTTATTCCAAAACTTGCTGATTCCAAAATCCAGCCTGTCCCAGAGAGAAATACCACCCTGGTTTCAGAACCAGGGAGTGTGGACAAACAGCCCGGGGGGGGGGGGGGTCGCCTCTTCCGCCAGCCCTCCAGAGAGCTGGGTTTCAGGGATCTTCTCTCCCATACATCCGAGGCAAGATATAGGATGACCCCTGAAAAACCAGAAAACTGAGGTGCAGCAAGTCAGAGCTTGAGGCAGGGAAACCAGCCCTCTCCATGTACCCAGTGGGGCTGAGATGGAGTTGAGGGGTCTCTCTGCCCTTGGCCCAAGGGCGGAGGTGTGGGGGAAGCCCCAGGGGAAGGAACCAAGGTCTGTGGTGGGAGAGGCACAAGCTGGCCTCTGAAGGGGGAGATTCTTAGTGCACCTCAACATGAAGCCTGGGGTCTGAGGTCTGTTGGTCCTTAGCAGAACCTTCCTCCTCAGGAAGTGGTCCTGTGGCTTCCTCCAGCGCGAAGACCCCTTCTTCAGAGTCAGAGACCTGAGGGTGCCAGGTGTCGGCCGGAGTTTGCTCAGGTGAACCGGGGGCAGTCAGAGGCCCGCTTCCCTTCCTCCTGCAGATGCGAAGAGAGTTGTGCTGGGGGTTTGGGAGGCTCAGACGCCAGCTGGGCTTTGCTCCGGCAGATTCCGCACTGGCCCAAGGGGCTCCTCCTGTGATGGATCGGCTCTCTCCCCTGTAAACAGAGATCTCAAGGTTGCTGTGAGCACTGAGATGATACACAGAAAAACAGTGCCTGCCACAGTGTACGAGTCGGAGAACAAATGGGGAGAATGAGAGTCTGGGAACTGGGAGGCCTGGGTTCCTGAGAGCGCAGCCCGACTTCCAGGGTGACCTTCAGCAGCTGCTTCCCCACCCTCCGGGTAAACACTCCCGGTTCGCCAGTGTTTGGGCGCCAGCCTGTCTTGGCCTTGCACCACCGCCTCCCCCTTTGGGGTTTGGTGTAGAGGCCTCCCCTGCAGAGGAGGCTCCCTGCTGGCCAGCGTCTGGGCCCCACCCTCTTCTTCTGCAGGGAGCTGCGCTGGGGAGACAGTCCACCACAGACTCACACCACACACACAGCACACTGGCTGCCCCGTGAGCACAGACACATCACACAGCACATAAACAGCACACACACCTTACACTCACACCGTGCTATCCACACACAATACACTCTACACCGTTCACACTCACACTGCACACACTCACATACACACTCACCACCTCACATATCACACATACACAACACAGTCATATAGTAGACATCACAATACACATTACACACCATACACACCCACCTTACACACACAGACATCACACACCAACATGCAACACACACTGCCCACCTCATATACACTGACATACTACACACTCATACCAGCCTGCATCCACAGATACATCACACAGCACAGTGCACACTCGTCACCACACATGTACCTCACACACCTCACACTCGCCACACACATCACACCCACACACACAATAGTCTTGTAGTGCATACCACACAGACAGCATAAGCATGCATACACATCACAGACCACACACAATTATGCACCACACTGATCACAGTCCACACACCATTCCACACACACAGAAGCGTCACACATGCTACATACACTGCACAGTAAGTACGTCACACATCACAGCCACGTGCCTCACATACACACAGCCTCGTGTGCCTGTTCACCTCACCCCACTCACTGAGCTCACTACCAACTCCAGACTGCCAAAATCCAGGGACCTCTTCTGTGTGGCCACCTGTGCCTCCCCTGCAGCCATCAGCCACTTGCCCCAGCTTCTCAGAACTACCTTCTCCCTCTGGAGTCTCCAGAGAAAATGCAGGACATCCAGTGAAACTTCGATTCCAGACAGACTCTGCATAATGTTTCAGTGTATGTCCCAAATACTACACAGGGTACGTTTGTGCCAAAAGTCACTCATCGTGACTGAGGTGCCAGTGTAACTGATGTCCTATACTTTATTTGCTGAATCTGGCCCCTCCTCTCCAGTGCTCTGTCCCACCTGCTCCCCCCACCCCTACTTCCTTCCGTTCCCTCTCCGGCTGCTCCTCTCCTCCCGCCCTTGTGCTGGCCTTGACTGCCTTTCCACTCAAGCCCCCCGCCCTCCTGGGCCTGCTTCTCTTGCCCTTCAGCCCATCCCTGCATGGGCCTGTGCTCGAGAGGGTCCTCCAGGGACCTCACCTCCAGCTGCCGTTCCCAGATCACCCTACAGCAGTACACAAAGCAGCAGTGCCCGTGTGTGTGCCTGGAGGCTGCACCTTCCCAGCCCAACAAGTACGGCCACTTCTGTGGCACCTGCGGAGCCCCCTGTCCACGAACATGCTGGCTGCATACAGCAGATAGTGCCTCCCTTGGGCACCACTGGTTGTTGCCCAGCCTCTTTGTGTACTGGCAGGGCTGAGCCACTGGTTCCCTGCCCTTGTCTGTGCTCTGAACCAGCGCTTTCCCCTAGATTCAACTTGTTGAATTTCTTCTCTCTTTCCAGTGCAGTTTATGGGGTTCCTCCTATGAGCTTTCCTGGGTCTCTCAGCTCCCCTTCCCCTGATGCCTTACCCAGGAGTTCACTGGGTGCTGGGACCATGTCTGTCTCAGCCACCTTCTTTTTGCTGGGACACGATACCTGACAGCCAGTCTTAAAGAAGGAGAGGTTTACTTGGGCTCATGGTTACTGCATTTGGTCAGCAGGCTCCACGGCAGAAGAGCATGGTAGCGGGGCCTGGGAGGAGAGCTGCTCATCTCCTGGCAACCAGGAAGCGGCAAGAGGAGGGAGGGACAAGAAGGAGACATAGCCTTCCAGATCACACCAGGGACAGCTTCCTAACAGCAAGCCAGGTACACTGCCCCCTTGATCCAGTCACCTCCTGAAAGCCCCACCTACAACCTCATGAGTGAGTCCTTCAGGGACTGTTCTCCAAACCAACCATAACCATCTGCTGACCCGCACCTTCTCTAATGGGGACTGGCACATGGTCAGTGCCCGGTCAGCATGCACTGAGTGGAGAAGTAAAGGACTGAATAGGTGCTCAGGTGATGAAATGAATGAATAAGTAGGTGAGGAAGTGAGGAAGAAAGATTCAGTGAGCTGTTTGGGTGGTTAGATAGACGGGTGAGCCAGTGGATGGATGGTGTGGGTAGATGGAGGAATGGCTGGATGGATGAGCTGATGTGAGTGGTTCGGTAGATGGATGGGTGGCTGAGTAGATGGATGAGTGGATGGGTGAGTGAGCAGGTGGATAGATGGGTGGGTGGGTGAGTGCATAAGTAAGTAGATAGATAGGCAGATGAGTAGCTAAAGGAGCAGGTGAACAACCGAAGGCTCCTCAGGGTTCCCCGCCATTGCTCTGTGTTCACAGTCCTGTTACTACCAACCAGAGACTTTCACTGTGCTGACCCAGTAAGGGCTGTGACCACACAGGCCTCAGCAGGGCTATGGGTCAGGATTCTGGGACTGGGCTACAGCCAAAAGGAGCCTGACCTGGAGAAGAGCAAACTGCTTGCAAGGAGGGGGGCTGAAACCCACACACTTCTCCCCTCTGAGAGCGGTCTCCTCTCTTGCACATCTCTCCCCACCAAGGGCTCTTGGGCCTGGGAATTTCCTTGTGTCCAGATCCACCTCTGACTGAGCACCTCTAAGCACCTCTGAGAAGAGGACCCTGACAAGTTCCTTTGGAAGTGCTCTGCCCAGATCCCTTTTTAAGGAAGGATGTCAGGGCCACCTCAGCTGCACAGCTCTGTCTTGCCTGAGTCCAAACACTTGCAGAGAGGCAGGCTCCTGAGTAAGGGTGTGGAGGGGCATTAAGGGCCTTCCTTATAGGCCTTGAACTTCTTCCTCTGCCCAGGCCTGCTTCCATCTACTTCTTCACACAGGTGCTCGTCCCTAATGGCCATCTTGCACCCAGACTTTCTCAGTGCTTGTTTGTGGAGAACACACCTGTGACAGTGTATTCACCCAGTCTCCAGGCCTCCCTGCAGCCATCTCCTTTCCATATGCATCTATGAAAGCCCTACATGGGGGCTGCAGTGTCTGGAGAACCTTAACAGGTCCTGGGAGCTCGCTTCCCCAGCCCACCCCTCTCCATCAGCCTGTAACCCTCTCCTCCCTGCGTCTCCCCTCTGCCCGTGACCCTCTCCAGCTTCAAGCCTTTCCAGTTCTTGTGGCAGCCACATGGCAAGAACAGTGTGTCTGCTCCACAGCCCCCCTCAGGGTCAGTCCCTCCCGCCCAACAAGGACGCGCTGGCAGAAGCACCCATTCACAGGTGGCTGCAAATGTATGAACCAACAGGCTCAAACTTTTGTACCTTTAAACCATTCTCTTTAAAAAATATGGCACGGCTTATTCCATGCACACAGAGAGAAGAGATTTTCCACTAACAGAAAACAGTTTATTTGTGATGAAAAGAAAAGCTTTGTTACATGCTGTGAATGCAACATGACATTTTTATCTTTTGGAATTAGCTTTCAGTTCATGATTTTTCTATCATTCCTAAACAACACAATTCACTCTCATTCTCTAGGAATAGCAGTAACCTGTTAGACTATAGCAGCAACATCTCATTGAAAATACATTTAAAAGTCTTCTTTCTGGCTTTCCTGTTAATAAAACATCTTGTGCTTTCTGTGGCTTATTTTTTCTTGTTTCCTCTCGTAGTTTTCCAAACTAGATTTGGAGAGACCCATAAAAGGATATGCATCTTCATTACAAAATAAATCACTTGTTCCCAGGAAGCAGCTCTTTTGTTTCAGAATTTCAGAGCTGATTTCAGGCAACTGGCAGAGCAGGGAGGCCTTAGGGTTGGGCCCTGGGCAGTGTGCAAAAATACTCGTAAGGAAGCTGGAGTCCATAAGAAGTGGTTACCAAAAATGTTCACTTGAAACCACTGCTTTCTCCATGGCAACAGAACCACCGTGTTGACAACAAATTCCAGTAATATTTGTGCAGAGCTGGCCCTCCACGAAATCCCCTGTGGTGAATGTTTGCACCTCCTCAGACTCGACCTGAGCCAGCCAGTGGTTAGGGCTTAACCAAGTTCTGCAAGACAGGAGCTGACGCCCACCTGCTCCCAATCCTTCAGGTCCCTCAGGCTTGAGAGCACAGCAATCCAGGAAGGGAGAAGACTCCAAATCCAGGAGGTACAGGAGGACAGGGGGGGTCAGGCCTGGGAGGAGGGGAACCCCAAGGAAGGCTTGAGGAGGGGGTTGGTGGGTCTGATGCATCGAGAAACAAATCCTGAAGGACTGTTAGGCCTCACATAATGGTCCAGAAGTCCTGGGCCCTCAGCACCGGCGAGGCTTGGCTCTCAGGCCTGGCGAAGAGAGAAGATTCCTGATGAAACGTGGCCACTGTGAAGCTGCGGCCAGGGCCTCCCTGAGGATCCTGGGTCTTCGAGTCATAACTGAAGCAGCAGAGAATACAGGTGATGACCACAGTGACCACAAGGAGCACTGCCACCACCCCAATCACCATTATTTCCATGTCCTGCGCAGGGGACCAATTACACAATTAGCAATGTGGGTGATCTCAAAATGTTAGCTCCCCATTCAAAACAGAGGTGCTCTTGGTGATCACAGGTGCCCTGTGTCCCACAGGCTGCTCTCCTTGGTCTTCTAAGGCTGAGGCCCTGGGTGGCATCACCCCAGGCCGTTGAGAGCCCCCATGAGGCCCTTCGGCTGGGACCTCAGAGGATCTCTACTTTCTACACCTCCCCAGGCCTCCAAGGGCTGTGGTCAACTTCACTGACAAGCACCGCCCAGGAAGATGTCAGCACGTGACGTCCAGCCTGGGGAAAGTGGTGAGGAGGAGGGGGCAGACAATAATATGCAGAGAGAGCCAGGCAGCCTTGACCCTCTGGCGACGCCTACAGATTTCAAGAGCAACTGTACCCTCATCTCCCCCTCCAGTGGATGCAGGAGGAGTCAGCTCCTCCTCTCAGGGACCTTGGGCAAGTGGTGCTCTGAGCAAGGTGGGGGGTGGGAACACCCACAAGTCACCAAGGCAGCCAAGAGGCCTCCACAGGGGCTGTGGGGAGAAAGACATACTGCATTTGGCCTTTTTTCCAAGTGAGTTTGGGAGACTGCAGTTTAGACGCTGAGGGGAATGGAGGGTTTGCTCCAAAAGCCAGGAAATCTCAGCCCTTTAGGGATGCACTGGGAGCTCCCTCACCCTGATCTCCAGAAGAAACCCTCTTCAGTGCTAGCCCTGGCCAGCCACTAACCTGGGTGCTGTGAGACTGACTGAGGGCCAGCCTCGGTGGTACCTAGTGCTGGGCGTCCTTGCCTGGTGGCCATCCCAGGGGTCCACGACACTTCTCTCTGGATGCTATAGTGTTAGCCCTGCCTGGAAGTTGGCTCCAGGATGTCTGAGCAGCTGTGAGTACTTCCTGAATCCCTTCCTCCAATTGTGAGTGACCCACAGCTGCCACCCTCCCCGCTCAATGACAGCACTTACCCTGCCCCCCACACACACCCTGTCCCTGACGGAAGGGCCATGGGAATGAACCAGACCAAGCCCACTGGGTCAGTGTAAGTCAGGCAGAGGAGCTCCATCCTGGCCCCTCACACTCGACACTCCCTGGGACCCCAATCACTTCCAGAAGGTAATCTGGGTCTTTAGACACCCTTTTCCCATATTGAAATGAAGTAGAAGTAATAATTCCAGCTCCTGGACACAGCCCAGCATGTCATGTGGTCTCTCTCCAGCAGCCCTGTGCAGTGGTATTGCCTGCATTCTACACATACGGATAATGACGCAGTCACAGAGCTGGAATGTCCTGCCGTGGCCAGCTGCTAGTTCACAGCGGCCACTACAGCAAAGTTGGGGCTTCCCTCCCTCCACTCTTAGCCTAATGCCCTTTCTAGGTAACACACGATCCCAGAAGCATCACCTGATTGTGAGGTTTTATTAATCAGGGTGTCAAGGCATAGACAGGGCAGAGGTCACACAGCCTAGAAACTTTGCAATTTCTCCAAAGCCCAAGCACCAGTGTTAGGAAACTTCCTGTGCAGCGCAGGAGACCAGCACACTGCGATCTTCTCACTGTGCTTTTTCTGAGATGACTGGATGATCCAGGCTCTGGGCTGCTCCTCCACATGGGCACAGAAAGCCAGATGTCCCACATTATTTGTTCTAACAGGGGCAACCAGAAGCAGAGAAAAGGGACACGATGCCCTGATCCACAGTGCTGCAGTTTCCCACCGATTCCCAACACTGTCTCATTTATCTGGGTGATGGGAGTGCAAGGTGCCGCGTGCCAAGTCTGATTATGGGTTTCTTTGACTTCCTGCTTGCCTGATCTTTGTGAGTAGACATAGGTGCAGTTCACAGGCGGAGGCTGAGAATAGTTCAGCATTTTTAATCTGTTACAAAAGACAATTGCTCAGCAGTGACTAGATTTCCTCTTCTGTCTCTGTCTCTGAGACTTGGGGGAAGAGTTCTTTTTCTTCTTTTATTTCTCTGTAAAATCGGTGTAGAGGAGCAGGGGCTGAGGTGGGTGGACCAGAGCGGCTATGGGGGGAAGCAGGCTGAAGACAGAGCATGGTCGTGGGTACAGAGGGTACAGAGGGGAATCTCTGCAGAAAGAACATCAGCAGTTCTTGGACCCTGTGGTCCATTTTCCCATGGCTGTCACTGTGAGTTTACCACCTTTCCCCTCATTCGCACCCCTCCCCCAGCCCTCAGCAGAGAACCAGCTGGGAAAAGAGGAAAAAGGACATGCTATTCCCGTGAGTCACCAGGCCCCTGATTTTCCGGCCTGTTCCAGCCCCTCCCCTTGCCTTGCCAGCCCCCCACCCCACCCCAGCTTTGCTCACTTCTGTTTCCTCCTCGGCACCCTAGGCTCAGGCTGAGGCCTCCGGAGATTTCCTGCCTCTCTGCGCCCTGCACCAGGAGTTCGTAGAGCTTGCAGCACGATCCCGGCTTTGATAGGAGAGTGTCCAGTTACTCTTCTCATTTTACGCAAGAGGAAACTGAGGCCCAGAGGAGGAAAGCACCCTCCTAAAGCCCACCCAGCACCTAGAAGCTTAAATAGCTCCATTCTCGCCCTGTTAGCCCCTCTGCCACACAAAGGCACCAAGAGACAAGCTGGCTGGAGACACAAAGCTTGGATAAGAAAACCTGACCATGTTACCAGGAAGCACAGTCTGTGGAGTGGGGTTTCTGAGTGCCTCGGAGCTCAGTCTGCCCTAGAGACAGCCTGGAAATGGAGTTGCAGGCAGAGACCCAGGGGCAGCCTGGGTGCTCTCACCCCTCCTCCTCTCCCAGCCCCTTGACCCTCCAGAGCTCTCCAGAGCCAAGGGACAGTGAAGGCAGAATGCCCTCTGGACAGGACTTTATTCAAACATTAAGTCTCCTCATCAGCTCAGGCAGGACCCGCATGCTTCTCCCACTCCACAGCTGTCCCTGGGACCCCAGCTCCCTCCCTCCCAGAGGGAGGTCCCAGGGAAACATAGCTCCAGCCATCCGACTCCTCCCTCCCACTGTGCTGCCATGAAGAGCCTCTTCACAAAGCTTCTTGGTGGCTTTTACTTTCTGTAGTAAGACACAGCAAATTGACTATATGGCCCCACACTGCCTTCTCCACACAGGAAGGACATTCTCAGGGCTTCTCTCAGCTGCCCACTTGCTAGAGGCTTGCAGACACCTAATGAAAATCACTTGAGCACTTTGTATTTGATAGGCACTGGCTCCAACAAATGCCCTTGTTACTTCTGGAGCTACTAGGAGTTAAAGTCACAAATTTGGGTGTCCAACCAAACCTGCTGTCCGCTACCAAGCTCTAAAGTGTCGACAGGGCCACTCCACATGGTCCTCAATTCTCTCCACCATGGAGGGACATAGTATGCAAATAAAGCCCAAGCAAGAACTAGGTTACAGTACACACGTCTCTACATGAAAACATCCAGATCCACTCATCTTGGTGATGGATGGGAGAGCAGGGCAGGCATCAGTGGAGGCCTCTGTGAGCAGGGTGAGGGTGGTGGTGATGGTGCTGGAAGTCCTGGTAGTGTTGCTGGAGGACCTGGTGGTAGTGCCGAAGGTGTAGCTGGTGATGGAGCTGGTGTTGCACAGAGCACAGGAGACACACGGCCAGGTAATGGTGACGGAAGAGCCCGGGCTGGAGCTGGAGTTGCAGGACTCGGTTTTCCCCTACAGCCAGATGGTTCCTCTCTACATCATCATCCTGTGGTCTGTGGAAAGGGCAGTTGGCCAGCAGCAGCAGCAGCAGCAGCAGGACAGCCACCACAGTGCCTGTGATCCAGCCCACCAAAGTTGCGCTCCCAGGAAGCCTAGAGTCTGGAGCAGGATGGTCCTTCACCACTACCCAGCAGCTCCGAATGGCTTCCTCCCCCTCAGCAACCTCTGCTCAGTCCTTGCAGTCACTGAACTTTGTTGTCTCAACTCTTATGGACTGGAGTAGCCAGAAGGACTCTTTGGATTGGAGTAGCCAAGGGTGAGGCCTGGGGGCCACTGACTCAGTGGAGGCCAGGCAGGAAGATGGGGGGAGACAGAGAAGCTGTCGTGTTGGGCTTCCTTGAGGGGATGAGGGGTACAGGGGTACAAGGGTAATACGTCAGGGTCCTCCACTCCTGCCACATGGCTGAGTGCGGCCAAGAGGGCAGTTTCTCTCTGTCTCTGTCTCTGTCTCTGTCTCTGTCTCTGTCTCTGTGTCTGTCTCTTTATCTGTCTCGGGGTGTGTGTGTGTGTGTGTGTGTGTGTGTGTGTGTGTGTGTGTCTTTCTCTCTCTCCCTCCCTCCTCTCTGTGGTTTCCTTTTAGCACAGAAATTAGGAACATGAACTTGAGAACTGCATACAACTCCCTTACTTAACCTCTCTACATCTTGGTTTCTTATCTGTAAAATAAATCAGAGGATCACCTACCTCAGAGGGTCTTCTGAGGATCAAAGGAGTTGAGACAGATAAAGAATTTAAATAGGGGAGAAACCACACCTTCCCCTGAAGCTGGCTCCACCATGCTGATTGGTGAGAGTCTCAGCCAGGAGAGGAACCGCACCCTGATTCAGAGGACTTAGGCTGAGATGATAGCAGCTGAGGGGAAGGAAAGGCTGGCGCTTCTGTGTTTGGCTGACCCCGCAGGTCTGGGCTGGTGCTCTGGGTGTCCACCTGGAGGCCAGCAGTGTGCACTGTGCCAACTGTGTGGATTCCTCCTGTCTTGTTTTTGAAATTCAGTGTTTTGTTTTATTCCTGCATCTGGTAACCTGAGTGACTTTTTTTTGAAGATAACAATGTGCAGTATTGTTCTCACACAAGAAAAAAGAAGGAAAGAGGAAGAAAGAAAGAAACAAAGAAAGAAAGAAAGAAAGAAAGAAAGAAAGAAAGAAAGAAAGAAAGAAAGAAAAAACTTACATAGGACCTGACACATCCACCATTGATAGTACTGCAATGCAGTTCAGATGAAATTCTTGTAAGACTCTCATCTGAGAGTCTGTGACTCCCTGTCCTACAGCTCACAAAGTCCTCCAGAGTTAAGACTGGGGTTCATTCAAGGAGTTATCTCAAGCCTGGTGAGCTTTGAGAGATCTGGGAGGCCAGCAGGCAGGTCTCTGTCATTCCCAGAGGACCTTATTTTTCCTGCTGCTTCTGGGAGGCAAAAGGATTGGTGTCAGCCCATGGTTACTGGGAGGCAAGAAAGAGACCACTGAGCTCAGCCAGGCCACGTCCAGTCCAATCTCCTGGTTCCAGCCTAACAAGCCGTACCTGGCAGGCTCTTTGCTCCATTCCAGCCTCCCCACCGTGTCACTGTGAATACTGTTCCTGCCTGGTAGAGGATGTAGAGAGCAGACAAGATATGAGTAGAACCCAACTCTTCTCCTCCTAAAACCAAAAGCCTCTCCTCACCACAGAGAGGCCTGGTCCTGTCCTGCTCATTGTCTCCCTGGGCAGCCCTTCAGGCTGTGAGCTTACAGGACTGTTCTCGAAACTGAAAGAGTTTTGGCCCAGACAGGACACTGTAGCCAGTAAAGCCTTAGAGGCGGAACCAAGAAGCTCCTATCTTCTCCACCCCTAGGAATTTACCTGTGACTCCATCTTCCCTGCCCCTAGGAATTTACCTATGGCACCAAGCAAAGACCAATGGGCTACCTGTGCATCCCTAATGCCCCCTTAAGTTCCACCCCAAAGCAAGGCTACTTACATACCCCCCACATCACGTGTTGGCCAGAGAGAAAGCCGGACTCCAGTGTTCAGGGGTTTTGGTTTTTTCTCTCCATGTTCTCCGAATAAAGGCCTCTTTTGTTTTATACTTCTCATCTTTTGGATATAATCTTATCATTGTGTGCCGTGACTCAATCGGCAGGCGATTGACTCCTGGGATACACACCCAGTTGAGTCCCCAGCTGACTCACAAATTGGATTCCATCCTGGATTAATTCTCCAATTTTCCTCTCCTGGGACCTGCTTAACTTGTCACCAACCATTCGCACACCACACCACCCCGATTAATCTCAGTTGAGCAAACTCCGGAGAATTCTTGGCGCTGGGCTTGGCCCCAGGCAGGTTTTCTCCCCCTTCGAGTGGGTTCCTGACACTCTCACGTCCTTAAGATAGCCCAAGGCAGGGTCTTTCTGGGCAACCTGTGTCCACACTCGAAAATCTCTCACATCCTTTGGATTCGGATAGCCCAAGGCAGAGTTTTCTGAACCGCCGACACTGTAAGACCCTCACGTCCCTCAGAGCTTCACGCTCTCATGGGCAGAACTGTTACTGACCCCAAGTAGACTCCACTCATAAATCTCTCAGTGACGACTGGAAAATACAAGTTTTTGGAACCCTAACCGCCATTTGGTGCCACGGGACAAGTGACGGCTCACCCTCTAGACCATGGCTCATTTCTTGCCTGAATTAGTTATGGGAAATGCTTTTTCTAATTCCCAAAAGATGCTTCTGCAATGCCTAATTTCCAATCTACGTACTCTTAAGATTAAAAGCACCATAAAAACTAAACAATTAACTTTTTACTGCCAGGAGGTTTGGCTGACCTACGCCCTTATTGACAGCCCTTGGCCCAGAGAGGGGACGTTTGAATCCCTGTATTCTCAAAAATCTCTATGATTTCTGTCAGGCTGGCAGCAAGTTAACAGAGATCCCTATGTACAGGCTTTCCTTGTTCTGAGAACACGCCCATCTCTCATTAAATCTTGTACCCCCGCCCAGATACTTTTAGCTAACTCTGCTGCACTGTGAACTCTCCTTTCCTGCCCTCATGATCTGCTCGATGAAGTATCCCCGGTTTTTCATTGGCCTCCACACCCCTACCCCCAAAATCGTTCCTCGTCATCATCTCCACCATGCAATCGTCTTCCCCTCCCTCTACCCCTAATTCTCCCAGCAGCTCTACTCCCTCTGTGATGCAGTTATCTCCCTCTGTGCGATCGTCTTCCCCTCCCTCTCCTGGAGCCCATAACTCTCCCAACAGCTCTAATCCCTCTGTTAGCACTTCCTCGAAGTCTCTGACCTCTTACTCTCCTGAAAATTCTCTGTCCCCTACAGCATTCTCACCTCCAGCCCACCATACTAGGTCTTGGTCGCTGTTTCCTTCTGGCAAGCCACATGACTGTTCCAGCTTGCGCCGGGAACAGTCGCCATGTTGCGCCCCTCCGCCACGTGAAAGGGCGCCACCATCTTGGGATGGATCTCACCGTCAATGGGCGCCCCCCTGTGGCTCCTCTTGTGATCAGCAACAGTCACTCTGTTGCGGACCACGTGACAGTTCCTTGTGTCTCAAACAGCAATTGAATCACTGCAAGGCACACAGT